AGTGACCAGTGATATTTAATGTTTGTCAGTTAGTTAAAAAATGACCTCTAAAAATTTCATTATGCACAAATACCTTTTTAAAATTTTTGTATGAATTCATCTTTCATTACAAAGAATGAGATTTTAAAAATAATTCACTCATTTGTAATCAAGTACTTTAATTGTAAACTCAGTATATTTTCTTCCGTTTTCAATCACTACAGCTGGTTTTAATCACAAACTGTTACAGTCGATTACGGTTCATTGATACTCTCATAAGAGATATCTTTATTCATGCCATACATATTTATTATTCCTTTATGTATTAGACAAGTTGAAGTGTCTTTTTTATCCAATTTTGCCCCGCAAACTATGCTTTCATTGTTTGTATTTTACTTATAAAATAGATTTATTTTAGAAATTCATTCAGGTTCGAGCAACATTTTATAAAAGTCAGAGCTCCAGATAATTTTTTTACCCCAAAGTGTATTTACTCCCTAAATTTCAAATCAATGCAGATTTTGATTTTCATTTAAAAGGTCTCAGAGTATTTTGTTAATATATAAGTATTTTGGAAGAGGAAACAAGTAAATTCAAAGAATTGTGGTCCCCCGCTTTCAGTGTCTTTGTGGGTGAGATATCAATTTTATGATATATTGTGTCTAATATGAACACCCTATCATATGCACATGTCAAGTATGAAAGCCCTATCTCTTCTCAATATAAGGAACAAAACATGTTTGTGAAACACTGGTAACCCCGTATGGCAAAATAAAGAAGATTTAACTTTTCTTAAATGCAAATTAAATATATTATTACCCGAAATAGGATTTTCAGACAAGAAATACTATTGTGAAATACAAATCCCTAACACCACCTGTTCAAATGTTATGGTCAAGGATAACTTTTTTAAAGGTAGGTCAAACTCTAAAGTGAAAGGATCTGAGTTGTTGATTTCTTAAGAAAGGTCACAAGTAATTCATATGTGAATGATGAAAACCCGAACCCTAACCGTTCAAAAGTCACGACCAAGGTAATTTTTTTTAAAAAGAAGGTCAGTCTCCAAGGTCAAGGGTAAAAGTTCTTGGTATCCAATGAAAGGTTTTCTCAAAAGGATTACATATGTGAAGTACGACAGGCCGAGCCCTTACCGTTCAAAAGTAATGGTCAAGGATAAAGTTTTTTCATAAGTACGGAAATCTCCAAGGTAAAGATCAAAATTGTTGGTATCCAATGAAAGGCTTTGCCACAAAGCATACATATGTGAAATATGAAAGTCCAAGTTTCTACCATTCAAAAAATATGGTCAAGGTTAAAGTTTTTTCATAGGTACAGAAATCTCCAAGGTCAAGGTCATCAGTTCAAAGTTGTTGGTATCCAATGAAAGGTCTTGCCACAAAAAATACATGTGAAATATGAAAGTCTTAGTATCTACCGTTCAAAAGTTGTGACCAAGGTCAAAGTTTTTGAAAAGTAGGTCAAACTCCAAGATCAAGGTCAAAGGGTCAAAGTTCTTTGTATCCAATTAAAGGCCTTGCCACCAAGAATACATGTGTGAAATATGAAAGCCCTAGCTATTACTGTTCACAAGTTATTGTCAAGGTTAATGTACAGAAATCTCCAAGGTCAGAGTCAAAAGGTATAAATTGTTGGTATCCAATGAAAGGCCTTGCAACAAAGAATACATATGAGAAATATGAAAGTCCTAGTTTCAACCATTCAAAAGATATGGCCAAAGTAAAAGTTTTGAATGTTTGTGTTAAAGTGGATCGAACGCCAAGGTCAAAAGATCAAATTTGGTGGCACCCAAACAAAGGTCTTGTCACAATTAATACACATGTGAAATATGAAAGTCATAGCTTCAATCAAAAGTTATGAGCAAAGTTAAAGTTTTTTTGACGGACGGAGAGATTGACAAACTGACAGACGGAGAGCTAGACAGACAGACAGGCAGACGAATGAGATTTAATGTCCCCTCGCTTTGGCGAAATATAAATTTTGAAATAATAATAAGTGTTCAGAGGGATTATAAACCTTAACAAAGATCATATTTTTAAAAAAAACCTAGAATGGCAACAGTTTATCACCTACTGAGTTTATTATGTCCTAACCTGATTACTGGTTACAGTTTTCATAAAGGATGTCAATAACACAATAAGGTACAGCATACTCCGATAAGGGAGATAACTCTTAATGACATAAATGTCTATCATTTCTTGTTAGATTTGCCAATTTGAAGTGTCAATAACAAAAAGTCCCAAAAATTTGCTGTTCATTATACTACTATCGCGAATCCGACTGTGGGACGTGGAGACCGGTTCTTCGGATGAGACCGTATAGACCGAGATCCCTTGTTTCAGTATAGGTACTGGCACGAAAAAGAACCCTCACTGCTAAATGGTTCTGAGTGTCGTGTAAAGAATAAAAATATATGGCAACATCTCCATATGAGTGATTTTTTTTTTGGTTTTCACGTAATTTTTTGAGTCTGCTGCTCATAAAATTGTGAAAATTTTGTCTCCTTTATAATAACCAAACAGCTAATTGAAATTAAAGTTTTATGAAAAAAAAAATATCTACTGTAAAAGTACCTTATAACATAATGATTACTAATCAATTTCTAAATAACTCGATCTGTATAAAAATTGAGTTCTCACCATTTTGTTTCATTCAGGGCTATTTGTTTTTCGTTTTTCAAATGCCTGTGTAGTTTTTTTTTTTCAAAGAGTGGAGGCGGAAAAGCAACCTAAGATGAAACTCTCTTGACTTCAAAAATCAGAAAATATAATCTATAGTAAGTACCAATGAACTCGCCACTTCCTATGACTTTGATGCAAAATTTCAACAATTGTCAATTTCAGAAGAACATTTAAATGGGTACAGTTTATTCCCAAAACATCATAATGTGTCATCAAAAACATTGTTCTAATATGAATAAATTGAAAAAGTACCCAACCATGATCTTCGTAAAACCAACTTTTAAGAGAACTGTACTTCAATTTTTTTTATTTTGAGGGTTAAGTACACGTTATTCCAATAATTGTATAAAAAAAGAGGCCCATGGGCCACATCGCTCGCCTGAGTAAATTTGGTGATGCCATTCTTTAACAGATTTCCTCCTTTATAATACCTATTGTCGCCTCGCCATATCCCCGCTTCCCCATGTCACAATTTTAACAATTTAGAATTTACACTACCCAATGATGATTCCACATAAGTTTCAGCTTTTCTGGCCCAATGATTCTTCAGAAGAAGATTTTCAAAGTTTTTTCCTATATATTTGTATGTAAAACTTTGATTCCCTATTGTGGCCCCGCCAAACCCCCGGGGGTCATGGTTTTAACAATTTAGAATCTACACTACCCAAGGTTGCTTCAACATTAGCTAAGCTTTTCTAGACCAGTGGTTCTTGAGAAGAAGATTTTTAAAGTTTTTCCAATATATTTCTATATAAAATTTTATTCCCTATTTTTGCCCCACCCAACCCCCGGGGTCATGATTTTAACAATTAATAATGTACACTACCCAAGAATGCTTCCACATTAGTTTTAGCTTTTCTGGACCAGTGGTTCTTAAGAAGATTTTTAAGTTTTTTCTATATATTTCTATGTTAAACTTTGATTCCCTATTGTGGCCCTGCCAAACCCCCGGGGGTCATGATTTTAACAATTTAGAATCTACACTATCCCAGAATGCTTTCACGTAAGTTTCAGTTTTTTAATCACCCCACCCTATTTTTGTCTTTTCTTGATTATCTCCCCTTATGAAGGGTCTTGGCCCTTCGCCCTTCATTTTAACAATTTAAACTCCTTTTTACCTTGGATGCTTTGTACCAAGTTTAGTTAAAATTGGCTCAGTGGTTCTTGAGAAGAAGTCAAAAATGTGATGAAAAGTTAACAGACGGACGACGACGGACAAAATGTGATCAGAAAAGCTCACTTGAGCCTTCGGCTCTGATGTGAGCTAAAGATAATGTAAGAGAAAGTGAATAACTCACGCTTTTTAAATTTTTTTTCAGATTCTTTTGAATAGATATGATTTGATTGAAATAATTTCTTAGAAAATTACAAGAAAACCTATTTGTTCAAGTAACCAGTCACTTGGTTTTATAATTTACTACTCACTGCTTATTAAAGTTTATCTGATGCCATCCCCAGTATAAACAAATTATTCTATAAACCTTCTTTTCCTTTATGGTGTTATTATATTTCCTTGGCAAATATGATTTTAAAGATGTAATTCAATAAAGAAATCAAAATAATCTGCAATTAAACCTTTTTATTGTTCACAATCTTCATTGCTCAATCATTCAAAGTTATTTGTGATGGGTTTCAACGAATATAAAAAAGGGTTACTCATTAATATTTAGAAATAACATGTTGTGTTAATAATGTAATCTGATTCAAATAAAATCGACAAAATTGAATACAAAAGTAATACTTTCCTTCAAAAATCTTTTCTTATGAGTGAAAAAGTTAAGTGTCCATCTGACAAAGTGAATTGTAATGACACAAGTCTTCAGCCAATTCATAAAAATAAAGAAAAAAGTTTTACTCTACATCTAACAAAACTACATCGGTCATGGAAAAAAAACACTATCAATCTACAATATCCGTTTACTGTGTGAAGTTGAAAGAACATGAAATACTATACTGTACTTTCTCTGCTTTAGACTGCCTTTAAAGCATCTCCGCATAAAAAAAAACTACAAAAAGGCCGCAATATACTGAACCACATATATATCTGCACCAGTCAACAATAGACATAAGTCTTCAGTTTATCAAAAACTGCACGAGATGAAAATAAAACTTGAAAATAGATGAAAAAACATCAATGGACAACATAATATAAAACCCATCTTTTTCTTCTTCAATTGCTAATTCACATTACTGGAACAATTAGAGTTGTCACCAAATACCTATCAAAATATCTACATCGTATTTCTTTTTTTCTGATTCAATTTTTTCCTATTAAAACATAATAATTTTTTGATTTTTGAATACATTGACAATAACCCTCAATATATATCAAGGTGACCACTTTATATAAAATAAAATGCATATTCCTTTTCACAACAGACATAAAAGTATGAGATTGAATATGTATATCTAGTACACGCACATCACGCAAAAGCTGGACAACAAACTCTGAACTATTGAATTCATTTCAGGTACACACAGTGATGTTCATCTGGGAGATTGTATTTACCCTGACTGTATACATAACAACAAACAGGGAGAGGCTTTGTTTCCAAAAGAGAAATTTGTGCAACATAGGCAGCTTAATGACACCACCATAGTGCTTGACCTTTTCCCTGGAGCCTACCGCCTACCTACTGGAGCAGCGTGACACTGGCGACCCCATATGGACCAGAACTCGGTCCAGCCACCGTAGCGGAACGTTCAGGCGAATTTCAATCCAGCAGGGCATACTGGTCACAGTCTGTCTCCTGTAAGCAGAGAATTAAGGAATGACTCTATATAACTTGGCGCTTTCAAAATTTAACACAATCAGGGGAAGTTGAGTTGTTTGGTCCTGACTTTTCCTCGCACAAAATTAATATCTCAAATGAATCTTACTTTCTGTCAATATGATTCTCCTTTGAAAATTGTTCCTATGACCCAACCTAGTTTCTTTCCATAGAAAAGATAGGATGATACTTCCAGTAAAGCTTGTTTAGTATGAACACAAATATTGTGAATTCAGGGATATAGTGAAGTTATAATGGATCCCTACTTATGTAAATTTAAGGAATTCCTTGTACAGATATAGCAAAGCAATTTCATAGGTCCTAATGACTTTGTTTTAATAAAAATTTACTGAAAATGAAATAAAGAGTTCATCATGTGTACTTACCTATACTCAGCTCCCCAGCCCTTGACAAAACTCATACGAATGGTACACATCCTAGTCAGCTGGTACACAGACTCAAAGCCCTGATTGACGGACTGGGTAAGCAGCGTAGCAAACTCCAGGTTATTAAAAATCTTCAGCCTACTACCTTCAATAGAAAGCATTTACAAAATTAATGTCCAAAACTAGACTAAAGTTATTGCTGAGGTCAAAAAAATACCATGGACAGTATTCTCTAATAAATCACAAAATTATAATTAAATTATAAGACCAGAACCACATGTAGCTCATGCAGCTTCAAAAATAAATTCAGAGTTCAGTAAAAGGACAATTAAGTTGAGGCATAGGATGTCATTCAATTTTCTGTTTTTTTTTTAAATAAAGATTCCACAGAATTATTACACATCAAATGTTCGAACTGGGTATATCTCTTTCTCATTTTTTTTTTTTACTTTTCAGACTCCATTTGAATTGATAGAACAAAAGTGTGGATTTACAACCATTTGTTTTAATGAACAGATATGGTGTCCTGAACCCCAAAATTCTTCTGAGACACATGATATTGTGTTTTAACGTCTCATCTGAAGGGTCTGTCCAGGCGTCCAACAGTGGGATTCAAACCAGCTATGTAGGGATAACTCCTTACTAAAACTAGAGAAAACGCTCTAACCCCTGTACCATGTAAGCATCCATTAATGTATGTTGGACTCACCTTTAGGTATTTTATAGACTGTTGCTGGGGGCCAACCATGAATCTGATTACAGATGGGGCTGTGTACAAACACCTCACTCTCACTGCGGCATTCCGCAAAAACCTCGCCTCCAATATAGTACAAACGTACACCTTTACCTGTAAATATACACCCAAGATAGGACAGACGCATACCCTTACCTATAAATAGACACCAAATGTAGAACAAATGCACATCTTTGCCTACAAATACACAACCAATGTAGTGCATAAGCAAACCTTATATAAACCTATATGGCGGGGTGTCATATTTATCTTCTGAGTTAAGTTGATACTAACCTATTTGGCGGCGTGTCACTATAAAATATCGATATTTTATAGTATAGAGGGGTCTATATATACTTATCATACGTCTACAGAATTGTGGCGACTGCTAAGTTAAGTTGATACTAACCTATTTGGCGGCGTGTCACCTCTATCTGCTAAGTTCTACTGATACTAACCTATGTGGCGACTGCATCCTCTCTTTGGCTGCTGAGTTCTACTGATATTAACCTATGTGGCAGCGTGTCATTTCTATCTACTGTTTTCTGTTGATACTTACCTATGTGGTTGCGCGTCATCTCTACTAGCTGAGTTCTGTTGATGTTGGACAGTAGTCCTAGACAGAAGCGCTCAGGATTGGAAGGACAAGTAAATCCATCCACAGTAAGCGAGGGCTGAGAGGCATGAAATGTATCGCCGACGCGATTATTCAATTCATAGTATGTAGTAGAACACCAATATGGAGGGTCTGTATAGGACACTAGCTCAGCATCTGAAGATATCAAGATAACAGTTTGATTATTATGTCGAATAAAATATTCCTTTGGTCACCTTGTGTCATATTGAGGTATTAACGATTTCACAAATTATTCTGTTGAAGATTTTCAGTTTCAGAGCAAAACATTCCTAACCAGTGCTTACACTGTGATGTCATCTAATGCTTATGTGACATCATTTGTAAGGCTCCTTGTGAGGTCATTTAAAACTGTATTAGGAATTCCTTAGTAAGAAACTATTATCTAATCCTATCAACCTGTTTTCTTAATAATGCTTTAGAAAAGTATGGACAAGTGAAGAGACTTAAAAAGCATAATAAAAATTTTAAAATACTGTAAAATCATATATTTTCATTGGGTCAAATTTTCGTGATTTGAAGACATAATATGGATTCATGGGGTTTAAATGTCGTGGATGAAGAATTCTAGAGTAGTTATGTATGTAAAATTTTACATTTCGTGGTAGACATAAATTCGTGGGTCTCTTCATACCTCGAAAACAACGAAAATTAGACCCCTACGAAAAATAGTGATTTACATAAGATTGAGCAAATCTGAATAGCGAATTTTGATTTAACGGGAAAAACATGTCTGGCACGTGATGTATGCACGTATTTCAAATTAGCATTCTTTTCTCCAATTATTCATCATTTTAAGGAGTCATCCGCGTGGCGCAGTGGTTAGAGCATCTGCTCGAGAGTCGCGAAGTAAGGAATCAATCCTTACGTCGCGGGTTCGAATCCCACTATGGGACGTGAAGACCGGTCCTTCGGATGAGACCGTATAAACCGAGGTTCCGTGTCGCAGTAGGTGCTGGCACGAAAAAGTTCCCTCACTGCTCAATGGCCCTAAGTGCTGAGTATAGGAAAAAAATTGTAGCTCTCCACCGGCAAGTGGTGGCGTCTCTATAGGAGTGAAAAATTCTCGAGAGGGACGTTAAACAACATACAATCAATCAATCATTTTAAGGAACCTCCAAGAGGCTTTTCTCTTTTGTGTCCTAATGACGCCATAAAACTTTTAATAGACAATGTTGAATGGCTGTAAACCAAAAAAAAAAAAAAAAAAAAAAAAAGGAACAATGAAAATGCAAACACGTACGGTGTAATTGTTTTGTTAATTATAGAACTTAATGGAAAAGAAATGCTTGCTCTAGCTTTGAGTTAGTTGGATATGTCAGGGCATTTACGATAGTTTATGTTTCAAACTGTCCTTAATGTCCCTGGGAAAAGGACAATTATGTTCTATTTTATAGATCAGCCCGTAAATGGACTGATATCAATTCCTTCGCTGGGGGGAGGGTGACACAAATCAGGAGCTGTGCATTTAGAATCAAATCAAGTACCTGTCCATGAGTTAATGGTAGTAATTAACTAATAAAATCACCATATCCACCACCCCCCCCCCCCCCCAAAAAAAAAAAAAAATTCACTGGCCCTATTTATTTTAAGTATAAAAAAGAAAGTTGTAATTTTCCACCTCTTATTCTTTCAGTATTTTACTCTAGATATCCCAAATATAAGGATCTCTAAAAGTAATTTCTTAAATTGGTACAAGATTAACTATTTGAGTCAACATGCAGCAGCAAAACAATTAGTCAGGAATTTTTTCAGCAATACAAATGTATGTAAAACCAGATACATAAAAATATGATTCTGGTAAAACATATTTCCAATATTTAAAAAAAAAGAATATATTAATCTACATCTTCCAAAAACTATTTTGATATCAATATAATAAAATAAAAAACGGCATGCATTTAATTTGTTTTAAAAGGTACGTAAGATTTAAAATTACAATTAATAATAGTAATCAAGTTTTTTATCTATTATATAAGTGATTTTTTTATGTACCTATATCTATGGCTAGAACATATTTTTACTACGATGCACGACTGACATATGTACATGAATATGTATTTATTATTTTTTTTTTTAATTTATTATTTATTTATTCAAATAAAATGTATTCTTTTAGTTCTTTTAGTTCTTTAATGTGAGATAATGTGATATTACGTGATTTCAGGAAAACAAAAACAGAAAGTGCAAATAACGTATATATAAAATGTAAATCACGCCTGCTTGAACATCAATAAAAAAAATAATTAATGCATAAATTTCGCTGTCCATTGATTCTAATTATCTCCGAACCTGACCAGCAGTGTTCAATCAGGCGTGAAGTGACTTCCTGATACCGTAGCATAATATTCACATATACCTTTCTTGAATGAGGTCACAGGTCATCAATGGAGTCGTGAAGTGGTCAGTGTAAGGGCTCTGAAAATTTTTGTATTTAACAACGATATATTCTCCTGTCCGGGTCAGAAATTGCCAGGTAACATCTACCCGTATATGTATTGACTGACTTTTAAATAACAATATGTGCATTACATGTATTTTACTATTTTGATTACTTTGTGACCGTTTTATTGTTTCTCTATAAGGACAACTCTGGAGCTGAACTGCACTCAAGTTAGGTTTTGGGTTATGTCTGTGTAGTCATGTCTCTCTCAGATACGGTCCAGAGAATGGCCGAGTCAAATTCACTTATCTATGGGAACACTTCCAACCCCAGTAATAGTGACGGTGAAGTATCATTGCACTAAATTCACTCGTTACTCGTTACACAAAAGTAAGTGATCTGGATTCAGAAATAAAGACCACACGTAACAAATGCAAAGATCTTGAGTCAAATGTTAGTTCTTTGAGGTTAGTGTTTGACTCTGTGAAGGATAATGCGGAAGCGGCTAAGAAACAGGCTGAAAGTAATAAAAACTAGAGCAAAGCTCGTTGCAAAGCAACGAGTAGGTCTTCCGTCCTGTTTGACAGAAGTAACTTTCATTTCTTACAAAAATGAGTAATAACACCCAAAAATGGTTTAAGTCTTCTAAATCTATGTTAATTAATGCAAAAATAAGCCAATTTTTTACTACTTCCGGTTAGACCGGAAGTGACGACGACAGACGGAAAATTAATTTTTATGCTCCCAAGGACAGTTGTTACTCAAAACCTTGTCAAGAACAGCAAAAATACTTTTTCCTAGTACTTCCGGTTTGGCCGTAAATGACGTCACTGGACGTTTTTTGACAAGCCCAATAGATTAAGCTTGACATTTTGAACAACCTTGCTTCTTTGATGTATAACAAATTTTCAATACTTTTAAATATATTAGGAAAAAAATTCTGACCCCACTAGATCCCTTATTTTAGGGGCCAGTCCTTTTTTCGAGATATCATTTGAAGATCTTTTAATTTTGCACAAATTTTATTCTTCATCTTTTAACAAAATATTTACAAGTAAAAAGATATCATAGAGAAAGTTTTAGAAATTTTGAAACTCTCAATATGACTTTCAGACCATACCGAGCGTTAACGTGCAGCGTTTCCGGTGAAAGTTAACAACACAATGCAACTCTACATATGTTGCTCTATCTCCCCTATAAGTTTCATCTTTCTGTAATGAGCGGTTTTATTAAAGAGCAGCGGACAAACTGACCCTAAAAAATCACAAAACTGCCAAAATCTTCGAAACGGAAGTGACGTCATGAAAATAAAAATAGGGGTATCAAGATTTTTTAATGTTCTATCATACCTGAAAGTTTAATAAAAATCTAATGAGCTGTTTTTGAAAAATCGCGTGCACAAAATCGGTAAGAATAAAAAATAAGTAGAATAGTGAAAAAGAAATCAACGAATAACAAGAAGGTCTTCCGCTGAAGACGAGAGACCTTAATTACACAAGAGAGCACGTTCTGAACGAATAGCAGCACAAAGACAAACTGAGAGAGATCTGCAATTATTAAATAAAGAAAATGCAGAAATTAGATACTCTATCATCGTATAACACAATTAGCCAATGTGTTTGGATTAAGAAGACTTTTGTAACACTATAAAGTCACAGCAAAGGTAACAAACAGTGGTACATGGTAAGTTCAACTACAAAGATTCGGAGCCAAGATGGTGAAAGCTCACATAGTCATTGCATCACATAAGACTTTTGTCATAGTTCTAAGATATTAAAAGCTATTGATACAGTATAAAGTGCACAGTTCACATATTTATATAAAGGTAACAAACAGTAGGCAGGGTACATGGTAAGTTCAACTACAAAGATCTCGGTGCAACTATGTGTCAAACCCTACCTACTATTTACATAGTCATGCATCACATATTGGTCTGTTGTAATTATTTAGCGGCAATCTATTTACTTTTTCCTGAAAATATCGGTGCTTAAACAGTTCAAAATATTCATGCTAAAATTGTTTGCATGCTTAGTTATTTTGGTTAAGTATTGCTCTCATAGCCTTATTTGTTTTCGATTCTCATTGATAATTTTCTTTTACATCCTTCAATCAAGTCATATAAAAAAGCGTTTTAATGACCCTATAAAAGTTCATCTAACGATCTGTATGTAATTAGTTTGAAAGTTTGTTGTACACATTAATCATATAACTGTTTTCAAATAATATTTGTCTATTTTCTCCTTCTTGTGTCAATTGCATAAATTAAGTTTATATATTTAATAAAAGTGTACCAATCAGTGATCGTCTCTATGGCGTAATCGATAAGGCATCGGACTTACAATCTCAAGGTCGTGAGTTCGACCCCGGCATGTGCATGGAAGAATTTTATTCAGTATATAAAGCCGTGCACTATTTCGGCATAATAGCTATATAAATCCTTAGACCACTTAGAATAGTAGGGTATGGGTTATATAGAGACAAACTGACAGGAAGCATAATAATTGGTAATAGCAATTAGTTAGTTAGAGTGTCACTTCATTAATATTAATATTGTCCGCCCCTCACTGAAGCTCTGTCTCCCATCTCCTTATAGGATACGGCAATGTCCTCTGTTTACATTAACATTTGCATTTTGCACATTCTTCAGTTAATTAGATGGCTGCAGCTTTGCACAAAGTCTGATTGGAAGTGTCAATGTTCGAGAACAACACATCGTAAAAACTAATTGTCCGTCAAATGAAGACGCTCTGTTATTGTATTCTATCTCCCAGAGTTTGTAAACAAGTTCGTAATTAAGATATGATTGTCCGTCGCTCTACGCACTGATAGTATCAATTATAATTCATAACACAATATTGAACTATAGATAAATGTACTGTACAAATTAATATATCAATTAAACTTATAATCTATACGC